AGGAAGGAAGGAAGGAAGGAAGGAAGGAAGGAAGGAAGGAAGGAAGGGGAAGGAAGGAAGAGGGAGGGAGGGAGGGAGGAGGGAGAAACCATAAGCCAAAATTTATGTATGTGAAAAGGAATTCAAACATTCTGTGATGGGCAATCTGATAAAGGACATGGAGAGCTAGCACTGAACTACAGAGCATGAAATTCTCCTATGAGCCTTAGGATACCAAGACGGTGAAGTAGCCCATGTGTGTAAGCAATATTAAGAAACAGTCTATTCACATATTTCATTCCTTCTCAGCTCTCAAGAAAGTTGATATATACATAAAATGAGATAAGTTGGAGCTAGGTAAGAAAATATCATTATCACTAGAATCTTAAAACAAAAACAAAAGGATCAAAACATTCAGCAAATATTTAAGGGAAACTAACATAAGGATGTGAGATAATGCATTTAATAATGCATTATTATTATTAAATGCATTATTATTAAAAGAAGTATCAATTTCTGAGCAAAGAGAACTATTACACGAGACAAAACCTTAAATGTAGATGACTTTTCAGAAAAATATTTTTAAAAAACCTTACATAAACATAAAATGCAAGTGTTCAAATAAAAAATATGACTAACTCAAACCGAATGGCTGAAAGTAAAATGGCAGAATGTCTGATTACCTAAAGAAAAATTTCAAAAGTAAATATTTTCAACAAAGACGTGAAATATACGGCAGATAGGGGGAGGGATAAGGAATTGACCAAAAGTAGCTTCAGAATAATAAGGCGGTGAAAAAAGAAAAATGAAGGGAAGAAAATAGTAGAAAAACATATATTTTAAAATAAAATGCCATAGGACAAAGAGCTGAGTTTATTTAACTCTCACACACAACCTATTTTGATACGTGGTAGCAATATTTCAGAACCCAAAATAAGAGTTTCATGGAAAAAGAGCTCCACGAAAGCAAATATCATGTTCTTTTTTATTCACAATTATATTGCAAACACTTAGAGAAGTGTCTGACATATAACAGAAAACTATCACATATATGCAGATGAATTTATAAAGTGAAAATCCTAAAAGCTTCAAAAGAATGTAAGGACTAACCATAAAATTTACAACTGGCAAAAATAAATAAATACACAAGGAGCTACATCTTTAAATTACTGAAAATAAACAGCAATTAATATGAATTATATAACCAAATAAACTAATTATTCAGTTTTGCAAGCTAAATCAATACATTTCTAACTACAAAGACTACGCAAATTAACCATTCAAAAATATTTTCTTGACAACTATTTAGCATATACTCCAGGAAAAGTAAAAAGAGTTACACTGATTAGGAGAAGAATCAGGATTAAAAAAATACTAAAAAAAAAAAAAAGAAAAAGAAAGAAAGAAAAAGTCATTAACATTTAACACTTGAATTTTCTGTTCCATTGTCTTCTCCCTTCTATCATTTTGTTTTCAAATTCTACTGTTTTGTTATTTTTTATCTGTTTTTAGGTAATGTGTTTTTCTTTTCCTCTAAGATGTTCCTAAGACTATTTTTTCCTGTGTCTTGAATTTCAGTAGCTGCACTATTAAATTCCCAGTGAAATTTTCTTTGTGCCTATCTTATTTATAAATCATTAGTCATCTCTGAATGTTCAGATTGATTTTTTAAGGTATTTGAACTCTTTTCAGACATTATATCCTTACCCATTGCTTCTGCTCCATTCTCTCCATGCTCTTCTTTCAAGATTATCAGACAACTTTTGTAACTTTTCACTATGCATTATACGCTTCTTATGCTCTTTGTTTTACCCATTTTTTGTTCTCTTTGTACATTAATTTGAATATTTTCTATTGAATTCTCTTCTCTTTGATCAATACTCACATTTGCTATGTCCAATATACTGTCAAACTCATCCCATGATTTTTTAATTTTTATACTGAATTTTTAAACTCTACAGCGTATACTTGATATCTGATTACACATTTTAATTCTCTAAAATATTACACATCACCTTCTAACTTTTTTGTTAGTGATGATAGTTACAGTTATTTTAGTGGCTCCACTAAGTCCAGTATTTGGATTATATACAAGTGGGCTACTATTCTCTTTTTTTCTTGGCATTCATATGAATCTATCTTTTCACATGCCTAATAATTTTTAGTTCAACAAAGGAAATAATCAATAATGTAAAGAGAGTGCCCACAGAGTAGGATAACATCTTTACCACATACACACCAAACAGAGCAGAAATCTCCAGGATAGATAAGAACTCAAAAAACTTCAGACCAAAAAAATAAATAACCCTATCACAAATGGGCTAAGAAACTGAACAGATACTTCTCAGAAGTAATTAGTGAAATGCAATCAAAACTAATCTTAGATTTCATATCACTTCTGTCAGAATGATAATTATCAAGAAAACAAGCAATAATAAGTGTTGGTGAGGATATGGAAAAAAAGGTACACTCCTATATTGCTGGTAGCACTGCAAATTAGTGCAACAACTATGGAAAGCAGTATGGAGATCCCTTAGAAAACTTGGAATGGAACCACCATTTGACCTAACTATCCCACTCTTCAGTCTATACTCAAAGGACTTAAATCAACATACTACAGTGACACAGCCACAACAATGTTCGTAGCAGCTCAATTCACAATAGCTAAACTGTGGAACCAACCTCGATGCCTTCAACAGATGGATAAGGAAACTAAGGTACATATACACAATGGAATACTACACAGTATTAAAAAAATAAAATTATGGCATTTACAGGTAAATGGATGGAGTTAGAGAATATCATGCTAAGCAAAGTAAGCCAAACCCCAAAAAACAAAGGCAGAATGTTCTCTCTGATAAGTGGATGCTGATGCATAATGGGGAGAGAGGAGAGAATGGAGGAACTTTGGGCAAAGGAGAGGGAGGAAAAGAGGGGGCATGGGAGCAGCAAAGATGGTGGAAGGAGAAAAACATCATTAACATAGGTACATGTATGACTGCACATATGGTGCAACACTACATCATGTACAACCAGAGAAATGAAAAGTTGTGCTCTATTTGTGTACAATGAATCAAAATGTGCCCTCATGTATAACTAATTAGAACAAACTAAAAAAAAATATCTACAGTAGAATGTAGTTTTTCAGAAGTGTATAAATACTAAATAGATTTGAAAGAAATACAAATAAAAGTAATAATATTTAGCTGGATAACATGATCATAGGAAACTTTATCTACTTAATATATATTATTACTTAAAATATTTTTATATAAAAACTGAAGTGAATAAAAACTAAAATTAATACATTTATTATCATCAGAATCATCTTAAATTCAAATGTATTATTTAACAATTGTGTTCAACAAACAGTAACTCTTCTTAACCATCTTTAAACATAATGAAATCCTTGTAATAGTATCTTTCCTTAAATCCTAAATGAAATTTTAGAATTGCAGTTTTATAAAGACACATTCATTGAACTAGTTATTTATTATTTGCAGAACATTCCATTTCAAGGAGAGCTTCTGAGGATTTTTTTAATTGATGTTATTTTTTAAATACATGACAGCGAAATGCATTACAATTCTTATTACACATATAGAGCACAATTTTTCATATCTCTGGTTGTATATAAAGTATGTTCACACCAATTCATGTCTTTATACATGTACATTGGATAATGATGTCCATCACATTCCACCATCATTGCTAATCCCCTGCCCTCTCTCTTCCCCTCCCACTCCTCTGCCCTATCTAGAGTTTGTCTATTCCTCCCATGCTCCCCCTCCCTACCCCTCTATGAGTCAGTCAACTTATATCAGAGAAAACATTTGGCATTTGTTTTCTTGGGGGGGGATTGGCTAACTTTACTTAGCATTATCTTATCCAACTCCATACATTTACCTGCAAATGCCATGATTTTCTTCTCTTTTCTGAGGATTTTTTTAATGCTGCAATAAATTCTATATCAGCTAAGCAATATTATTTTAAAAAGCCAATTTCAAGCATAAAAATTTATTTCAAATGGAGAAAGAGTAATGTACTGATTAAAAACAAAAAATAAATACCTCATGCTGTTTAAATTTTTCTTTCCACATTTTCTCTTCTTCATGGAGCTCCTCATTCATCTTGTCCTGTTCTTGCTGAAAATATGATAATAATAAAGTGTTATTTTACTCACATACATATCTAAGAATATTATATTCATTATATATGATTCTCACAATTTATATTTGTACATAGTGAGTAAAGATGACAACACATCAAAAAGTCCTGGTTTAAAAACTTTCAATTCAAATCCAGTGTGAAATTAAAGCATCAGATAAATGATACCTAGGGTCCCATTTTTAGGACATAAATATGTTTACAACCTAGGAAAGCTATTTTAGTTATCTGAACATGTTGCTCATATAATGAAATATGTTGGCTAGAAATACTGTTTGGTACTGCAAAACTTATAAATAACAAGATTGCAAACTGACTTTTACATTATAATTTTTTTCTCTATACAGCATACCATTTAATTCACATAATAAATCAGTAAGTAATGGTTTTCCTTCAATACATTTTTATTAGGACATATTTATTTAAGACTCTTCAGAATAAAATAAAATCAATATAAAACAGAACCCTTCATCAAAAACTCAGCTTCTAGTATGGGAACAGTGCCACAAGTTTACACATTACCCCACTTAGCAGAATGAGTTTATCATAAGAGAAGAACTATAAAGGGTCACAGTAGGAATGGTTGTTATAATTACTGATGGTGAAAAGTTTTATGCAGGATATTATACTTGAAATGACTAGGTTTTCAACAGGTGGAGTAGATATTTTCAGAATCTACTAAGGATTTCAAATAAAGAAAATGAATAAAGCTGTATTTTCAGAAAAATATTAAGTTTATTTCAAATAGAATTTGGGGAATAACAAGGGGAATACTAAGATCAGTGTGGAAAGTAAGATGTCTGTGTGAGAATCACTGAGAGCCTTCTGTAGATACAGTGGCAGGAGTGAGAATAGAAGTGAAAACTATGTTAATGTGGGGCTGGGGTTGTGGCTCAGTGGTAGACCAACTTGCCTAGCATGTGTGAGGCACTGGGTTCAATTCTCAACACCACATATAAATAAATAAATAAAATAAAGATCCATCAACAACTGATAAAAATATTTTAAAAACATGTTAATGTGAAATTGTTAAAAACCACCAACTGAATAGATACAAAGGAAGGGGGGAATTTTCTTTGAACCTATCTTATTCAACATGTGGTGCCTTTTGATGACATATAAGTGGGGAAATAAATTTTTAAAAATAGCCTTTGACAGCACTGTGTATAAGACCAAAACACTTACAAAGTATAGTATATATTCTAGGCTAAACACTCATAAAGGCTGAGCTACTTTAAAGTATCAGTAATATGTATTTAAGAGAAGATGGATTAAACAACTATTAGAAGGAAGCAAGTAATAAAAAGAGAGGTAAGGGTAAAAAATTATATTCATTTTCTCTCTCTCTCTCTCTCTCTCTCTCTCTCTCTCTCTCTCTCTCCATTCCTGCCCCTCCTCTCTTTTGGTTCATTAGCTTGGACAAATAACTGCTTTGCTTACTGAATATAAGAGAACCAGAGGAGGAACACAATTCAGAAAAAAAAGATAATGCATTCAGTTTTAGACATAAAAAGTGTAAGAGTTACATAGTATACTTTATTTTGTTATAAAAATAGATTTGGTTCTGAACAGGCATAGCTATGGATGAGGTTACCAAAAAAGTGTATGGATTAATAAGACAAAAAAGGCAGAGGGTGGAATCCTTGATAATATCATTTACAAGGACAGCAAGAGAAAGAGAAGTGTAATATTGGCCATATTCTATTATCATATAGTATGCATATATGAACATGCAACAATGAATCCTACTATTATATACAAATATAATAGCCCTGTAAAATATGAAAAAAACAAAAGAAAGAATAATAAGTCTGAAACAGACATGGAGGAGGAAATAATAAACATGTAAGAAGGGAATAAAGACAGAGTGACTCCCATATGAATCAAGAGGAAAGAAAATGGTCCAAAATCAAAATTTTGCAGGCATAAAATGCTTCAGAGGCCTATAAGAACCAATAAAAAGCCTCATAATATAGTGTTTAGAGATCATGGATTTTCTTTTTGAAGAGCCATTTTTTTGTTCAGTGGGGTAACCATGCAAGAACCCTAGCAGATTTAGTACCGTATCAGGGATGAGATCAGGAATATAATGAAAATAATTATTTTTTAAGAAGCTTGTCTATAAGTAAATCTAAAGAGCATCTAACATGAGACAAAACAAAGGTTACTACATGATTTTCTTTTCTTCTTAGGATGGGAGAAAACTGAACCTGTTGATAAAGAATAAGAAAGGAGGAAGGGCCAGGGTTGTGGCTCAGTGGTAGAGTGCTTGCCTAGCAGGCATGAGGACTGAATTCCATCCCCAGGGCCACATAAAAATAAACGAATAAATAAGGCATTGTGTCCACTTAAAAAATGAGTAAGGAGGAAGCTTATAGAGGTGTTTAAGTGTATAGAAAACAAGCATGGGTAAGTTGAAAATGGCACACTATAAAGCTAAGGAGAAAAGATAACCTTTGACAGAAAGAAGAAAGATTCTTACTGGGAGGAAGCAAGACAAAAAAAAAAAAAAAGGATAAGCAAAGATGTTGAGGCTAACCAGAAACCAGATGTTGGATTAGATAAAAGAAGCAGTCTATGATTGATGCAAAAAATATAACGTGATTATTTGTAAACAACGAGAGAGGAAGAGTAGGATGGAACCACTAAGATTTATGACAACCATTTAGGGTAAGAAAAGCTCACAAAAAGCATAGAAAAGAAATACTGGGAAGGTAGTAAATTATGTATTTAGAATACAGCATAAAATTGTGGAACAGTATAATTGGAAAAATTTTATGTTCTAAGGCATAATAAAGTACAAACTCGGTAATTCATTCAATCTACTCATCACATTTTTCTTAAATAATAATTTTATAATAAATGCTGATTAGCTTCAAAGAGTGTATTACAATTCTAATTTTTTTAGTAACATGGATTGAATTCAGGGGACTAGACCACTAAGCTACATCTCCAGACCTATTTTGTATTTTATTTAGAGACAAGGTCTCACTGAGTTGCTTAGCACCTGGCTTTTGCTGAGGCTGTCTTTGAACTCATGATCCTTCTGCCTTAGCCTCCAGAGCTGGTGGGATTACAGGCAAGCACCACCACACCTGGCAAGTTACAATTCTTTCATAGTGGGGATTTCTTTGGTATCATCTAAGCACACAGGTGAATACTTTGCCCTTGAAGAAGTCAGTAAATTTTTATTATCATGCAAATAAAAACAACAACTTCACTAGGTAGAATTAAAAAATCAGATGTTTTCTAAACCTGAAAGTACCACTAACACTCAATTTCATTTATGTATTTCAGCACAAGCTAGAAAACACTCCTCTCATAAGCTACGTTATATTCAAACCTTTTCTGGAATTTTAAAAGAAGTTTCTAGTTTTAGAAATGACTATGTTATTGTGGTTTGTGCAAAGGAAAATATAAGTACAGAAAAGTTATACATAACTATTAGAAAAGGTTCCACAACATTTTTTAAATTGTTTTTAGATGTTGATGACCTTTTATTTTATTAATTTATTTATATGTGGTGCTGAGAATTGAACCCAGTGCCTCACACTTGCTAGGCAAGTGCTCTATACTGACCCACAAGCCAGCCTTAAGGTTCTACAATATTATAAAACTTTTTCTACAAAATTATGAGAGTTTTTAGTTTATTTATTTTCTATATAATCATGAAATAAAATGTACTCAACATGGAGGATTAGAATACTCTGAGTTGCCGAAATAATCACATGCAAATGTTCTCTATATGTAACAGTCAAAATCACCAAGTTCTGGATAATACATCTATCAACTTTGGTAATGAAAGACAAGACATGGTCTTGCTTGTTACCTAGACAATCTAAGACCTTTATGACCTACATGTAGGATTCTAAAATCCTCAGTTTTCTCAATATGCCACTATGAAGACTTGACTGTGGATATCAGACAGTTTGGACACACAAAACAGAAATAAAAACAAGTTCAAAACTCTGTGCACTTCAACGAATTAGCTCAGTTATCAGGACATAGAATATCTCCTAAATGGTTGAACTACTTCTACCAAATATGTCATATTACATATTCTACATAATATATCACATGCTAGATCACATAGCAAAGGCACTGTTTAATCAATAAAGCTATCTTTTCCTAAATTTATAATGTTATGGAAAAAGCAAGTTTATATTATAAATTTCAGAATATATAGCATGATCTTTGAAACTTCATATACTCCAGGGCTCCTAAGATACAAAGAAGTATATGAAATTCCTGTGCAATCTAATCAAGTAGCCCATATTAAATATCATTAATTCACAGTAAATTGCTTCCATTACCAGGAGCAATTAAAATCCACAGAATAAATTTCAATCCACACTGTAATACAAACAGCAATATTCTTCATAGGTAGCTGCATTTAAAAAATAGGTACATGACTTTTAAAATACATGAAAAAATCAGAACCAAAATGTACCTTCTGTATATTCTCTAATTTTTTCTTTTCAACCTCAAATTGTTTCATCCAGCAATGTCTCTTTTCTTCTTCCTCTTGAAATTGCTTTTCTTCTTTATCCCTCTGAGCTTTGAGAATTTCTTTATCTTTATCTTCTAGTTCTTTCTGTTTGTCTTGCCAGGCTTCAAAAGACTGTCTACATCTTTCTTCAACTTCAAAATATCCAAAATTTATATCAGCATCATCTGCATTCATAAAGAATAATAACAGTATTATTCGTAAATCAAATCTGTACAACGTGAATCAATTTAACATATAAAAGTAAATTTGGCTGGGTGCTGTGGTACATGTCTATAATCCCAGCAAACACAGTAAGCTGAGGCAGGAGAATCATAAATTCGAGGTCAGCCTCAGCAACTTAGTGAGGCCCTAAGCAACTTAGCATGACACTGTCTCCAAAAATAAAAGTGCTGGAGAGGTGGCACAGTGATTAATTGCCTTTGGGTTCAATCCCTGGTACCCCACCGCCCCCCCCAAAAAAAAAACAATAAAAACCCCATAATTTTACATAATTAACATAAATATATTAAAAAAATAGAAAAGTGATAATATGCAAACACATTATTGAATACACATGGACATTCCACTGCAGTCAATAAAGAAGTCAAAATACTTGCCTTGCCTTAAAATATTCCATAAAAAGAAAACTATCCAATATTTTTTCAGATAACTATGATCAATCATACAAATTGTCAAAAATATTGAGCAGTGTGGCACACCTGGTAAAGCATGTTCATCAATAGGCAAGTCACAAAGATCAGGCTCAGGAACCAAGTCAGGATTTTCACAATGGGATTTACTTCTCATAAATTCTTCTTTTTCTATTTCAGTTAATATCTAAGAGGTTAAAAGAGTACCAATAATTAAATAAAATCAAGATAGAATAAAATTATGACTTCAGTAGTGAATTAAACATATATAATATAGAATTTTACTTTCTAAAACCTCTGTATATACAAATCTATAGTGCATTGATAATTATTTTCCTCATGAATAAAAATATTTTCACATGCAGAAAATATTTTACCCTCTCAATGTTTTCCAAACCCTAATCATTTTTTAAAATAATTTTTTGATAGTAGATGGACATAATACCTTTATTTAATTATTTTTATGTGGTACTGAGGATGGAACCCATTGCCTCATACAAGCTAGGCAAGCACTCTACCATTGAGCTGCAACCCCAGGGCTCAATTCATTTTAAGATTAATCTACCATCTTTAGTTAATATGTTTTATATTTTTTCAAAATGTTAATATTAATAACTATTTTACTAATGCATTTCTTTCTTAGGTATAGTAATTGTTCCTGCATAAAAAATTATCAATGAATTCAATATGACAAAAAAGAGAGCTAAAAATTCTCTATTTACATAAGTGATATGCATAAGTGATAATTTTGATCAACACTTATCCATAATTTTATTCCTACAATACTCCAGTTGGAAAGATAGAAGATATTTATTCCAAGGAGTCAGCAGTATGATAATTTAAAAAATATTCTAATTTGCAGTACCACAGAAAGAGTAAGAGTCAAAATTTTTAAATTATATTAAACATCTTAAGTATAAACAGAGTTAGATAAGAGAGAGGTAAAATGAGAGTAAATTGAACCCAGTGAATAAATCTGAGGAAGAGATTCTCTTTAATATATTTGTGAGGTTTTAACCCAATAAAATACTACACTCCCTTTTAATTTTATTTTTAAGAATCCTTTCTTTTATCTGCTTTTAAAAAGTAATATAAACTCTTATACATTCAAAGTTTCTATGCAGTATTTAAGGTCTTTGCTGAAACACTGTAAATTTCTAAGAAAGATAGTAAACACAAGAATATATTCATTGTTTTCCTCTGAACATTTAGGAAAAAAATATCATGAATACTGGTTTATCTATATGAACATTAAACTTCCAAATACTGATGGCTCAAATTATTATTTTAACGTTCTCACAGATTGAAATTTGTGTGGTTTCATATACTATTCAAGAGGAAACCATAAAATAAAAAATGACTTGTTTAAAAACAATCATATTTTAAACCAGTGAACTTAAAATCAATGAACTCTCATCCTATGTAAGCTTAAAAGACAAATTTCTAATCGCAATATTGAGTATTTTCTGTCAAATGTTGAACACATACCTTCATTAGTTGTTCCTGATTTTCTTTATTTTCTGTTGATAATCCTATCCTTAAATGCATATGATTATCAGAAACTGTCCCATAACTATAGCCTAAAAAAGGAAAATATATTATAATATTTTACAAAAAGTTTATAATACTTTATAAATGTAATTTTGAATATTAGAGTACAACACGCCAAAATCTTAAACACCTTCATCATTCTTTAATTTCAGCTTTTATCAGAATAACTTCTTGATCAGCAATAGGAACTCAATAGAACAGAAAAATGAATAAAGAAGAGAGGACATTTGTTGTATTTATTTTAAAAGTAAAAGCAATAAATTTCTAAAGCACTATTAACTCTTTACCATTTTAAAATTCTAGGCTAAGGTTTATTTTCTATGAATTCATAATCATGTAATGTATAATATTGCAATGGCACCTTGATTAGAAATCAACAAAGGTTCAATTACACCTGCCACAAACTAGCAATACAATCCTGCACAAGATAATGAAATTACTATAAGAAAAATATTAATTAATAATTAACATAATGAAGTTAAAACTTATTCTTTATTTAACAAGATTTTGTTGAATTTTATTGTCTTTTTATTGTCTGCTGAAATGTATTACATTTCTTTTTCTTTATTCAATTAAAGTGTGATATCATGGTAATGCTCCCATTCTTCTTGTTAACTAACTATTCACACCTATTTGGTCATATATTTTTTCTCCATCAATACCAATTCAAAATGTGTCTAACATGCCTTTCTGTGTGAGATGCTGAAAAGAAAAAATAAATTATCCAAATGACTTTGCAACTAAGTTTCTACATATAGATATATTTTTCTTAAGTTTTCAATGTCATATCAATAGTAAGTGTAAAGAGAAGTTTTTGATATTTTCATCTTTCTGGCCCACACTGTGATGATACAGGAGACTTTGAGTTGGAGACAGGAGTGTGTAGGAAAGAATTTATATCTCTGAACTTCTTAATTATGACAGAAACTTCTTCTGTACTATAGTTCTGAAATGTATGTTGAGGTTGTTTTACGTCTTGGATACACAGCCTAAAGTCTGGGTCTCTTCAGTCTTGTGAACAGTAATTTATTGCAGTAGCTAGTCATCAAAAATGATTCTTCCAAAGAACCATGCCTCCTGTACGCATGTCCTATGTAGTTCCCTCCTACACTGAAACTAAACTAATGCTATGTAACTAAACAGGATGTGGTAGATATGATACTGTCTGACTTCTAAAAATAGGTCATAAGTCTTAGGTTCCACCTTAGTCTCTTGGTATTTTGTCTCAGAACACTGAGTTTCAGAATTCAAATGTTATATAATGAAAAGTATAAGCCAAAAGAAAAGGCTACATGAAGATGCCTCCAGTTGACAGGTACTTAGCTGAATTCCCCAATCAATAAGCTACATGAATTGCCAGGCATTTGAATGAGCCCTCTTGGAATCCCAGTACAGTTGAGCTTCCAGAGGATGATAGATGTAATCAACATTCAACAAAAATGCATAATAATCCAAGGAACAACTGCCCAGCTGAGCCCAGTCAACTCACAGAATCATAGATATTTTTAAAAATGTTATTTTAATCCACTAATTTCATTTCACAACAATAAATATTCAGTGCATTTATTCTACCTATAAAAGTAAACAAAAATCTTACTGCTTAAAGTAGAGTGGCTCTGTTTTCTACAACTGAGGTTTCCAATCAATACAAATGTAAATTACCCTCCAATTTATTTTGTATGCTATCTTCATACAGACTTAATTTAAAATATATAGCTTTTTAAAGTGAATTATTATATAATATGAAAATTTTTGCTTCTTGATGTGCTGTAAGAATTCAGTTGGAAAATTTTTCCTAGTTCATTAACACTGAAGAAGAAATTCCTTTCTCCCTTCTTGCTACACTATTGATTTATTCATGTTTTTTAATTTTACATTTTTGATAATTTTAATTTCTTTGGAAAATTATTCCTTGATATTATCAAATCTATTTTATTAGAGTTGTACATGAGAACTTCTCATAATCTTCTGAACCACTGTTATTTTTCATGAAACTAATTTTCTACAATTGTGTTTTCTTTGAATTTTATAATTAGATTATATGATTGTCAATGTATTTGTAATATATTTTCATTATATAAATCTTAGTAAAAATAAGCTATTATAATCCCTCATAGTTCAATTATAGTAAATATTATATATCTATTTATAATGGTACTACTGTCAGAAAACATGAAGTCACCCTTCCTCTTCTTTTTGCATCAATCCATCAGTAAATCCTTTTTTACTGTACCCTAAAAATGGTTGCCAGAACATGACCATTGTCCCTCATTTCTACTCAATCGATTCATCTCTAACCATATAATTCCAAGTCTTGTTGTAATATGGCTATGTCAATCTGTTCTTTCTACATAATTAACAGAATGCAACCAAAATATTGCTCAAAAGGTAAGTCAGATACTCTGCTTACTCACTGCTCAAATATCAATGTCTCATACAGACTCCTCTAACTGCCTTATTTAAAATAGCAACTTCCAGTCTCTATCCCATTATCTTGCATTTCTTCTTTCATAGCATTTATCACTATTGTAATATTCCAAATTTATTTGTTTATTGTTTGTCTCCCCACACTGAAACAGTAGAACACAAGAGTAAGACCTTTGCCTGTTTTGTTCACTGCTGTATTCTCAGTGACTACAACAGATTCTAACACTAATATTTATTGAATGGATATCTTTGAAAATCCATATTTTAATTTATACTATTTTCATAAAATACGTTGAACTTTAAAAGTTTTTAATAACAAAACATGACAAAACATGAACATTTTTAGATAGTTAAATTATTGATCCAAGTCCAATTTTTAATGCATGTATTATTGGACAAATCAAGGTCTGGTTGAACAATTAGCTTATTGTCATTTTTCATGATAAGACAAGAAGTGATTAATTCTAGTTAAATTTTGATCATTCCATTATTAGAATAATTCTAAGTAATATTGCCCAGTTCAAGCAAATAAGGTTTGTTAGGCTTTTGTATACAAAGACTTATTTCCCTCCAAAAATGTGTGCATATTGATACTTTTAAAATAGTCCCATACTCAATTTTCTTTTCTTTAATGTAAAGTAATAGGAAACTGGTAGTAATTAAAACTGGGGAAATAAGAATAGGCATGGGGACACACAACTGTAATTCCAGAAGCTAGGAAGAAAGCCTGAGACAGGAAGATAACTCAAAGTTAGCCTCTGTAATTTACCAAGACCTTAACAATTTAGCAATACCCTGTCTCAAAATAAAATATAAAAAGGGTCAGACATGTGGCTCAGTGGTTAAGTAACTCTGTATTCAATCCCTGGAACCAAATGAAAAAAGAAAATAACTGGGGAAACAAAATTATTTATAGAGATATAATGAAGATACTAAGAAAAAAATATATGCTACATCTGATAGTTCATAATACTATAGACAATTCATCTGATAGTTCATAATACTATAGATAATTTATTAGTGATAAAGGTACATTCATGTACATAGCACAAGATAAGAACAGTAAACAACTTAGTTTGCTAAATTATGTTATCCAAACTTACTGAAAACTTATCTGCCAATCAAATGAAATCTGAACATACTTAAAACATTGGTGTCTTCTAAATCCTGAAGGAGTTCTTCAACAGTTTTACTCTTGTTCTTTATAATGTTGATGCAGTGAAGAACTGACTCTGGTAATTCTTCTAAATCCTAAAATCAAAATTACACATAAAATATTCCTCTTTAAAAATTTGAGCAAAATATGTAAAGGAGGTAAAAGGGCTACAGAAAAGGTACAGTTCAGACAAATATTTTGCTAAAATTTGCTTTTTACTTTATTTTATGGAAGACCCTAACGAAACAAATGAAAAGTTTCCTACATATGATTTTATTAACTTTATTACAAGCTGTTTATTTTTAAGTGTCCTTAATTATTGTGTATATTTTAGATTTGTCTCAATGAATTTTATCAACTATTAATGAAAATTGCAAAGTTTTTTCCAAAATATATATAGGAACCAAATAGAAGAACCAATAACTTATATAATAAATTAATACTTTCCAAAATTTACTCTATGACTATCAAACACAAAGTTAGTCAAATTCATGAATTAGGGGCTGGGGATGTGGCTCATGCGGTAGCGCGCTCGCCTGGCATGCATGCGGCCTGGGTTCGATCCTCAGCACCACATACAAACAAAGATGCTGTGTCTGCCAAAAACTAAAAAATAAATATTAAAAAATTCTCTCTCTCTCACTCTCTCTCTTTCTTAAAAAAAATCATGAATTATTACAGAATATCTATCAATATGGACTACGTAAATATATTTACAAATTTTCAAATTAAGTAAATACATTGATAGTAATTTACAAAATGTAAAAATGCTGTAAATATATCCATAAATATTATAACTAGTTAGAAAATACAATACAAATAAATAGCCATAATAACAGCAAATATTTAACATATCAGGAGTAATTTTAATAATAATCTAGAAACTAGAAATCCACATCTATTTGACTACAAAACTTCATTGATGGCCCTAAAAATACAATGCGGATGAATCACTTTAGATGTTTTTGATACAGAAGAACATTACATACACTGATTTCATCTAATAAAATATTTTCTGACATACTGGGTTTCCCTCTAATAAGTTAAGATTTTCAACCATATTTTTTTCTCTCCATGTTCACTAATAGAATTCAGTGCTTATTTTGAGAAGAGATATCAAAGAGAAAGAGAAAAATGTTGCTTTTCCCCTTATCATTAAAAAAAAGCAAACAAAATTCAATGTTATAAACTAATTCCTGGTATTAACTCTACTCTTCTATCCTCTGTCCTACATGAGATTTTTATTTCTTGTTTAATTAAGAAGTCTTTTAAGATACCTGGATTGTACAAAATGTTATTATGTCCTGCCATATATAATTTGTAATCCCTGAATCTAAAAAAATGAGATATGTATACAAAATATACCAAGAAAATTAATATTCCTACTGAAAAGCATTTGTGTTAAAAGGCTTAAAAATGCAATACTTAACACTTACTGCATCACTACCTTCACTTTGAGTTTCTGAGTTTGACTCACTTTCAACCTCATCTTGTTCCAAGGAGGAAATACTGATTTTATCCAATTCAGCTTCTATCTCTTTTTTGAGTTTTGCATCATCATCATCACTGTCTTCCATCACTCTTCATATTAAAAAACAGAAAATAAAAATAAAGAGGCTATTATGTCTCTAAAAATTGTGTGTTCTTTAATTTTGCATATCAGTCCAACATGTTTCATTCAAACCTATTTTAACAAACTTTTATCATACCTTATTATGATTGTACTATATGTTAAAGAATATTGTTTTACCTCTTCATTCACTTATCTTTTCAAAAACATATTTGACTATAAAATGTTCAAATCTAATATTAATTTTATATTTTTTTAAGAGAAAAAAATATGGAATGAACTGGCTTACCTTCTAAAATCAAGAGATTTCAAAGTAAAATTCCACATGGGCCCAATTAATAAAAACAACATTGAATATTTTGAATATTTAGAGATTAAAATACTTAGAAAATAATAATCTAAGTATGGGCAAAGCATATGGCTTTTTTGTAGTCATTGAAAATGCTAGTAATTCTGTCATAGATATAGTTAGCCACAGCTTTTGCTAACATGACACGTAATGACAGATAATATATGACAATCTAAATATTATACATATAACCTAAACTTTATAAACTATAAAATCGCCTAAGTGTTTATTTTATTTAAATTGTTAATGCTTGTAATGGATATAGGCACAGCAATGTATTATAGCATATTTTCACATCATCATTATCAAGTTCACTACCATCATTAGTTTCCATATATAGAGTATCTATAATAAGCCAGGTAATAGAAGATATTTAAGTAAATTACGAACATTAAAAAAATGTAACAGGATAAAGATGATTGTAGTCCTTGTATATATGACAAAACCAAGGTTTGAAGATGTTACTTAACTGTCCAAAATCATTATGCTATTAAGTAACAGGGCAGAATCTTAAGTCAGATATACTAATTTTAAAGTCAGTGCTCTTTCTACTACTAAATGGTATCAACTCAGCTGAGTTCATTATCTATCCGACAATCCCTCTGTATGCCATCACCTAGTCCAATCGTGTTCAAATTGAAGGTTAGGACCCATTAATTGATCAAGAAATTAATTGATTAAGAAATTATTCACTCTTAATAACTAAGTTTTAGTGATAGGATGAGAAAGGAAAGGAAGTTTTAGGATAGCCTAGAAAACAAAATATAATGATTCTATATATTAAGATAAAATTGTTTAAAATTTTTCAGTTATGAATATACACATATATATGCACATATGCATGAGTTAAATGAAATATATTTTATTAGTACTTTTTTATTTACTGTAGATCTTAGTCACATAGCCACATCAATATTTATAGCAGCTCACAATAGCCCTTCAATAGATGAATGGATAAAGAAAATGTGTTGTATATATATACACAGTGGAATATTACTCAGCCTTAAAGAAGAATGAAATTATGGCATTTGCAGGTTAAGGATGGAGCTGGAGTGTATCATGCAAAGCGAAATAAGCCTGTCCCAAAAAACAAAGGCCAAAAGTTTTCTATGATGTGCAGATGATAAATCACAATAAGGCAGGGGCTAGGGAAGAATAGAGGTACTTTGGATTATGCCAAAGGGAGTAGGCGAGGGGAGGGGATATGGAGCTAGGAAAAACAGTAGAATGAATTGGACATTATTACTCTATGTGCATATATGACAACACAACCAGTATAATTCCACATCATTTACAACCAGAGAAATGAGAAGTTATACTCTATCTATGTATGATATATCAGAATGCATTCTATTGTCAGGTATAAGTAATTAGAACAAATAGAAAAACTTTTTAAAAGTTTAAAATATATCAGTCAGCTCTTATTTTATTTTTCAATACACTCTTCCAAACTTTCATTGTTTCCTGAAGGCACTGGCCTTTCTACCTGTGTTCTTGTTCTTTTCTTCCTTCCTTATCCTTTTCCCCATTCCTTCCTTAATTCATTCCTTTACTCATTCAATTCAAAACGAACTTTTTGAGAATGTGCAACATGGATTCATAGCAGTGCTGGGTGCTACAAATACATTGATTAAGTATAGTGTGGTTAATAAAGAAGATTAAATACCCTCACTTCACTGTTTCTTTTCATGAATCCCCTTCTTATCCATCCTTCAGGAATAGGAGCTCCTCTCCCTAATAAACTGTCATACTTTACCTGTAGGCTGATTCTAAAAACTTCTTAACTTACTGAACATTGTTTTGTACATTATTTCTGTGTTTACTACTTTATCATACATTTTTTATTCCTTTGTTCCTCATCTCCATAAAAACATGACCAAAACCCTGGGACTCTCACTAATGATAGATATCACTTATCTTTCTTTCACAAATAAGTGATTTAATCAGACTGATTCCATGTGTGTTGACTGAAATCCTAAGAATTTATCCTAGAGAAATGAAAACTTAGATTTACACCAAAATTTTTACATAAATGGCACAGTAGCTTTATCCATACTAGCCCCCAAGTGAAAAAACACAAATGTCCTTCAACAGGTGAGTGATTAAATAAACTCCAGTGTATCCATACCATTCAACACTACTCAGCAATCAAAGGGATGGACTATTGACACACACAACAATACAAGTAAATCTCCTTGCAACTATGTTGATTAAAAAGTAAAAAACATGATTTCATTTATGTAACATTTTGAAATCAGAAAAATTAATAAATGAGGACAGCTTAGTGGTTAAGGTGTTAGAGAGAGCATGAGTTATAAAACACCATCATGAGGGATTTTGTAGTGCTAGAACTATTCAATGTTGGTGGCTGAAGATAAATGAACTTATTCAGATGATTAAAATTGCATAGAACATAGTACACATAAAATAAAGGAACACTGAATAAAATTAGTAGATTTTTATCAATGTCAACATTCTGGTTATATTACTGTATAATTAACAAAATATTACCATTGGGAGAATTTGCAGAGTACAAGAACATTTTTGTACTCACTTGTAAATCTAATAAAATTTTAATTAAAGCTATACTAAGTATGCACAAAGTTACATAAGTTATGGCTCCATAGAACATGGTGCAAATTATTTAAAATGGTACAATTACTATTATTCTTGTAAGAAAGTATCCAAAAGGACTAACTAAAAAAAAGCAAATGGCAAGAAAATAGGACAACAGAAAATCTCTTTTTTGGTAACTACACACACATACACACACACACACAGACACACACACAGAGTTTTTAGACACAAAAACTTCTTGAAGAAATTGGGGAATTTTAACAGTTATGTCATACCTTCATGTTGACTGATTTTTTAAAAAAACATGAATATACACTATTTTCATAATTTTAAAAGCTCATTTAGAACATTCAATTTCCCACAATCTTCTCCCTTCAAAACACAGCAAAACAACCAACAGAACAATACTAATAATTTAATTCCAAGTAATTCAATAGCTTTCTTTTTTTAATTTTTTATTGTTGGTTGTTCAAAACATTACATAGTTCTTTTCTTAGGTGAAAAATTTTTTAGACTTTGTTAATGTGCTTATAAAATAGAATGCACAGGTACATGAAACTTTATATAGAAAGAAGGGCAAGCAAATAGGGTGAAGGTAAGAATAATTTCCTTTATATTTCCACTTCTGTTTATCTCAGGTTCCTTACACAAGCCCCATCCAATGTTTCCATATCTGAGCACAAATGCAAATTTACATTTTACACATCAACTGTTTAAAAAGAGAAGCAGATTAATTTTAACATATCCTATTTAACAAATATTCAAATATCATTTCTGCTTATAATGAATAGGCCAGCACCATGGTCTACTCCTGTAATCCCAGCGGCGGGGGAGGCTGAGGTAGGAGAGTCGGAGGGGTGGAGGGTGGAGGATGGGAAAGGCAGCGGAGCACAACAGACACTAGTATGGCAATATGTAAATCAATGGATGTGTAACTGATGTGATTCTGCAATCTGTGTGTGGGGTGAAGGTGGGAGTTCATAACCCACTTGAATCAAAGTGTGGAATATGATATGTCAAGAAATTTGTAATGTTTTGAACAACCAACAATAAAAAATTAAAAAAAAAATAAATAAAAGGGAGGTGTCTGGGTTCTTTAACAAGACTTTGAGATTTATCCACATTGTTGAATATATCAATAGGTCATTCCATCTTATTACCAAGTAGTATTTCATTGTATGGATGTACCATTCATCTGTTGGTGAACTTTTGAATAATTTCCAGTTTGGGGATGTAAAAATAAAAATAAAAATAAAAGCTTTGGGCATTTGTAAAAAAAAAAAAAAAGAAAGAAAGAAATTTCAAAGCCAACAAAAGCGAGGTGCTAAGCAACTCAGTGACACCCTGTTTCTAAATAAAATACAAAATAGGGTTGGGGATGTAGCCCAGAGGTCGAGTGTCCCTGAGTTCAATCCCCCGGTACCAAAAACAAACAAACATATGATGAATATAAAGTATTATTATCACAATTTTATTTATTTGTTTGTTTATTTATTTGTTTATTTGGTACTGGGCCATGAACACGCTAGGCACTCACTCTACCACTAAGCTAAATCCTCATCCCTAAAAGTTATGAGTTATTAAGATAAAAATTAAAATTTGCACTGTTGTTCTGCACACTAAGTATTTGAAGTCCGGTGGGTATTTTACACCTACAGCACTTGTCAACAGACACCTGCAGCTAGTGGTTTCCTTCCCGGACAAGACTGGCTGCTCTCGTGAATCCCGTAGTAAACTGGCGATGGCAAACCATTTCAAATTGATAAGGAAACGCTTGAAGGTGGAGAAACTGCCAAAAGTGACAGGGCTTAAGTAACTCCCCTCTTTGGTCTCTACAGAAAAAGGAAGGGAAACCTACTTCACGAAGTAACAAAAATTATTTGTGTGTGGAATCATGAAAGCAAGAGAAAGGGAGGGAGGGGAGGAGAGAGGAAAAGAAAAGAACTGGCACTTGGTGTATTTTAGGATGTGGGGGAGAGGGAAGCGGGGTGTTAACTATCAAAGGCTCCGTAGGCGGCCAAGTTGGATCTTAAAAGTTCTAAGGGAGTTTCCAGAACTGAAAGGAGCCTCGAAGTGAGCGG